TTTCTGGATCACTCCAGGGTTGTGTTGAGGAGATCTCCAGGGACTTCAGGATCACTCCAGGGTTCTTTTGAGGAGATCCCTGTGGGCTGAAGGAACTTTGGGATCACTCCAGGGTTGTTTTGAGATCTCCAGGGACTTTGGGATTACTCCAGGGTTGTTTTGAGGAGATTTCAGGGATTGAAGGACTTTGGGATCACTCCAGGGTTGTTTTGAGAAGATCCCTGTGGGCTGAAGGAACTTTGGGATCACTCCAGGGTTGTTTTGAGCAGATCCCTGTAGGGTGAATGAATTTGCTTCCACCTCATCTCTATTTCCCGGCGTCTCTCCGTGATCCCGGCCCCTGATCCCGTTTTTCCCCCTCCGGCAGCGCGTGTTCCCCTACATCTCGGCCATGGTCAACAACGGCTCACTGACCTACGACCACGACCGCGACGGGCGGCCCACGGAGCTGGGCGGCTGCACGGCCATGGTGCGCAACCTCAACCACGACACCTTCCTGGTCATCCGCTACGTCAAGAGGAGGCTGACGGTCAGTTCCGTGAGGTATCCCGGGATCTGGGAGCCGGGGGGCGCGTATCCCGGGATTTGGTGATCATTCCTTGGATCTGGTGACCATTCCTTGGATCTGGTGATCATTCCTTGGATCTGGTGATCATTCCTTGGATCTGGTGACCATTCCTTGGATTTGGTGACCATTCCCTGGGTTTGGTGACCATTCCTTGGATCTGGTGACCATTCCTTGGATTTGGTGACCGTTCCCTGGGTTTGGGAGCCATTGGTGACCATTCCTTGGATTTGGTGACCATTCCTTGGATTTGAGAGCCATTGGTGACCATTCCTTGGATTTGGTGACCATTCCTTGGATTTGGTGATCATTCCTTGGATTTGGTGACCATTCCTTGGATTTGGTGATCATTCCTTGGATTTGGTGACCATTCCCTGGATTTGGTGACCATTCCCTGGATTTGGGAGCCATCCCGTTTGTTTGGAATTCCCCCCATTTCCCGGGATCAGGATCAGGAATTCCCATTTTTCTGGGATCGGGAATTCCCGGTTTCCCAGGATCTGGAATTCCCCATTTCCCAGGATCAGGAATTCCCATTTCCCGGGATCGGGAATTCCCGTTTTCCCAGGATCAGGAATTCCCGTTTTCCCAGGATCAGGATCAGGAATTCCCCATTTCCCAGGATCAGGAATTCCCGGTTTCCCAGGATCAGGATCAGGAATTCCCGGTTTTCCAGGATCAGGAATTCCCAGTTTTCCGGGATCAGGATCAGGAATTCCTAGTTTTCCGGGATCAGGATCAGGAATTCCCGGTTTCCCGGGATCAGGAATTCCCAGTTTTCCGGGATCGGGCATTCCCGCCGTTTCCCCCGGCAGGTTCTGATCGACATCGACGGCAAACACGAGTGGCGGGATTGCATCGACGTTCCGGGCGTGCGCCTGCCCCGCGGTTACTACTTCGGGACATCGTCCGTCACCGGGGACCTCTCAGGTACGGCCGGGGCCACCTTTCCCGGGATCTGGTGACCATTCCCCGGATTTGGGAGCTGTAGGTGACCATTCCCCAGATTTGGGAGCCACTGGTGACCATTCCCTGGATTTGGTGACCATTCCTTGGGTTTGGGAGCCATTCCCTGGATTTGGGAGCCGTGGGTGACCATTCCCTGGATTTGGTGACCATTCCCAGGGTTTGGTGATCATTCCTTGGATTTGGTGATCATTCCCTGGAGCGTGGAATAAAATCTTGGGATGAGCCTGGAATAAAACCTTGGGATAAGCATGGAATAAACTGGGATGAGCCTGGAAGAAACCAGGATGGGCTGGAATAAACTGGAAGGAGCATGAAATAAAACCAGGATGAGCATGGAATAAAACCTTGGGATGAGCCTGGAATAAAACCTTGGGATGGGCATGGAATAAAACCTTGGCATGGGCATGGAATAAAACCTTGGGATGAGCCTGGAATTAAACCTTGGAATGAGCATGGAATAAAATCTTGGGATGAGCCTGGAATAAAACCTTAGGATGGGCATGGAATAAAACCTTGGGATGAGCCTGGGATAAAGTGGGATGGGCATGGAATAAACTGGAAGGAGCATGAAATAAAACCAGGATGAGCATG